GTAAAATGGCGTATGTGTGCACCTGTGTCCCTCCTGCTGTTGATTTGCATGTGATGTACATTTCTGAAGACTAGAAGAATGCCTCACCCCAAAGGTTTTTAAGTCAGAATTCCACTGCTCCAGTCTTGCATTTTTTGTAACTGTGCCCTATTTATACTGACATTAAAACATTTATAAACAGCAGTTGGACTTGTGGGGCTTTGTCTTAGGCCACAGCAGCAGCTTCTACAGTGAGGGCATCTTCCATGCAACAGAATCATGCTGACTGCTGACAGAGCCAGGGCTAGGCAAAATATGGCCCAGGGGCCGCATCTGGCCCGCCAAGCCACCGGGGGGAGCCCCAGGTAGGCTTCCTGCTTGCCTTGCCCCACCCACATGCTGCTCAGAAAAGCAGCTGCCCAGCCATTTCTCTTTCTCAGCTTGTGAGGGCAGGGGGTGGAGGCTTCATGTACTGCCCCTAGCACAATCCCATTGGCCAGAAACTGGCCAATGGTACTGCTTATTTGAATAACAGGCAGCACACCATGCCCCTCCTCCCTTCCAGCTTGTAGTAGTCACCCAGGAACATGGCCTGTGCAGGGGTGGGGCAGGGAAGCTGCCTGAGAAATATGTTGGGCTGCTGGCTGGGAATCACCCAGGTGTCTCGTGGCCAGAGCCTGCCTTTGGCACCCCAGCCCCTCCCTTCCCCACCCTCTGCCCCCCACTCCTACCCGCCTACTCCCTGTAACCCAAACCCTCTGCCCCACTCCTGCACCCATATTCCCACAGCCCAGACCCCTGCACCCCAGTCCAGTGCCCCAGATCACAACTGCCTCCTTCACCCAAACTCCCTCTTAAACCCTACACACCCTCCTGCACCCCAATCCCCTGCCTAAGGCCACAACCCAAACCCCTGTGTCCTCTCCTGTACCCCAATTCCCTGCTCCAGGTCACAACTCCCTCCTGCCCAACACAAACCCCTGCATCCCAGGTCGCAACCCCTTTGTGTTCTAGGGCACCCTCTTCTGTATCCCAGTTCCCTGCCCTAGGTCACATCTCAACCCCCTGGTACCCCAGTTCAGTGCCCCAGGTCACAACTGCCTCCTTCACCCAAACTCCCACCCAGACCCCACACTCTCTCCTGCACCCCATGCACCATTCTGCACCCAATCTCCATCCCAGACCTTGTACTTCCTCCATGAATATCTTGGCAGAGTTGACCACTTACCAAATTCTTGAAGTACCCCCCCCATCAAAAATTATCGCCCACTCCTGTCTTAGACTCTCACGCTACTGTATGCAGTATAATTGACACACCTACAATCTCAGGTGAGTAGAGTTATTTTGGGTGAGGTGGAACTCCCGAAATAACTATTTTGAAATCGTGCATCCGAGGCAGGCTCCCTTAATGTGGATGCGCTACCTCAACTTAGAGCCCCAGGAAGCGCTGGGTAGTAATTGGTTTGAATGACTCTGGGGAGTAGTTATTTTGAAATAGCAGCAGTGGAGCTACTGCTATTTTGAAATAACTGTTTCAAAATAAGCATTAGTTCAAAATAACCAACCCCTTAAATAACAGGCTTGGTAGTGTGAACGCTCCGCTTGTTATTTTGAAATCACTTTCTAAGGTAGACTAGGGCTTAGACACTAACAGATTTGTGGGTGTAAAACCCACAAGCTTATGCCCTGATGAATCTGTTCGTCTTTTAAGGTGTCACAGGGCTCATTTTTACAGGGACTGATGAATCTGTTTGTCTTTAAGGTGTCACAGGGCTCATTTTTACAGGGCAGGTCAGATACCTTTAGCGTAAGGTCCAGCTGCCACCACCAGGGGTTAAGTGAAGAAAAAACAAAGCTACAGGTTGGTGCTGCCACCTTATTACCTCTTCATGTAACCCCAGACCCGCTGCAGAAATGTGGGCAAGTTTAATACAACTGAGTAGGGGTCTAGTTTCATTAGCACCTTTGAAAAACCACCTCTCCTTACAACTGCATTGGGGTAGTAATGACAGGAAACCACTCCTTCAGCTGTGTACACATTGCTAATGGCGTTGCAGCATGTGTAGACATAGGCCAATAGCTTAACACCTGTGAAGCTATAGCAGGCCAGCTGTGTCAGTCTAGTCCTGTTAAATTTTATCCCATTATGAAATCTTAGTTGAGGACTGGTTCAGTGCAGCTTATAGTCATGCATTTTAGTCATGACTTTTACTGAAAATAAGGACAGCTCACTGGTCCATGACTTGTGCTGTATATCCTGTCTAAATCTTGGACCCACCATGAGTGCTAGAGGAGAGGGAGGGGCAGGCTAGGATCCCTTCTGCCCCACAAGTGACTGGCCTAGGGGCTGCCCAAGCTGCTGAGGCAGTGCTGTAGCCAACCACATTAGAAGTTAGAGGTCCTGAAAAGTGCTCCAATTGTTTCCATCCATCTGCAGAATAAATTCTTTTGCACTGAGACATGGAAAAAGGTCTAGGTTGGATATTAGGAAAAACTATTTCACTAGGGTTAAAAAGGTGATGGAATCTCCATCCCTAGAGGTTTTTAAGTCTCAGCTTGACAAAGCCCTGGCTGGGATGACTTAGTTGGGATTGGTTCTGCCTTAGGCAGCCCGACTTGATGATCTTCTGAGGTCTCTTCCAGCTCTGTGAAGATGTGGATCACCAGTAGAAACATGCTGTGGGCACCCTGCTAATCAGCTGGCTGCCCAAGTGCTCAGCTTACAGAAAATCTGGTCATAGACTGTCACAGAATCTGCAGCTGCTGTGATCAATGTAATAGTCACATGCTTACATATAGCTAGGGAGGAGATCTCAGGAATTTTATGGCAGCTATCACTTCACCTTGGGCTCATCTACATTGGCCCCTTTTCCCGGAAGGGGCATGTTAATTTCAGAGATCGCAATAGGGAAATCCGCGGGGGATTTAAATATCCCCTGTGACATTTAAATAAAAACGTCCACCGCTTTTTTCCAGCTTTTAGAAAAGCTGGAAAAGAGCATCTACACTGGCCCCGATCCTCCGGAAAAAGTGCCCTTTTCCGGAGGATCTTATTCCTACTTTGAAGTAGGTGCTTTTTCTGGAGGATTGGGGCCAATGTAGATGCTCTTTTCCGGCTTTTCTAAAAGCTGGAAAAAAGCGGTGGACGTTTTTATTTAAATGTCACAGGGGATATTTAAATCCCCCGCGGATTTCCCTATTGCGATCTCTGAAATTAACATGCCCCTTCCGGGAAAAGGGGCCAATGTAGATGAGCCCAAGGTGAAGTGATAGCTGCCATAAAATTCCTGAGATCTCCTCCCTAGCTATATGTAAGCATGTGACTGATCCTTTTTTACTTCCTTAGAGCTGTGAGGGGGGCAGTAATTCACAGAAGAGAAGTGCTCTGGCCAGTGATGTGATTGGTCCTGTTGCAAGGGAAGCATAGCACAGTGATTTAAGGCCTGGTCTTATGAGGAAGAGATGCTAGTGCACCTCATCGAAGTGAATCAGAATAGTTAACTATCAAAAATTCAGAGGGGTTAACAATAGAAACATGCTTAACTGGAGAATCTACTCAACTTTGGTGATTAGTAAAGTGACAGCTCTAAGTCAGCAGCAAGACCAGGCTGGTTGTTTGCTCTTCATTTTCATGCACTGGAAGACAGCCGGCTCTCCCTCAACTTGAAAGGTCAGCTTACAGTGGAGGGCTCCACTGTTTTTTGTTTACCTGTGGAGTTGTAAACATTATCATTGTACAAGCTGTAGCACTTGAGAAGTTCACAGATGTGTTGGGAGAGAGCCATTACTCTAACAGCTAATAGACAAATGAAGTTTAATATTCATTTTAATCTGGTGTGTCAGCAACAGCCCAATAGCTATACTTAGGGCTGGTGACAGACCACATGTAGAAAGGTAGGTTCACCCTCACTCTGATTCTTGCAAACTTCCTTCATGTGATCATTTCCTAACCTCACAGCAGCATGCTGGATCTGAAGAGCAATGACGGATCAAGGATGATAAAAGGTGAGGGTGTAAGTTAAAATAATCCTGCCCCTAACTCTTGAAAGCTGGATAACAATTTAATTCCGTAGTTATTTTTAAAGTAGACCAGAGCAAACTCAACTTTATTACTTTTGCCAAGTTGTTAGCAGTATGCAGCTGCTGTAAACAATTAGACCAATGGCACAATAGCAATCCCCCTCCCTCCCAACAACAAATCCTGAACTACACCCATAAGGCCTCCAAGTTGTCTTGGCCATCACTCTAAAATGAAGAGCAGGAACTGGTTCATCTTTCTCTAATGCAGCTCTTAAGGCACACAACGATAGGTCCTGTGTCTATGCCTAGTTGAGACAGTACTTTCATGAACAGTGGTCTTGCTGCTGAGGAACAGCCCAGCATGTGGAGGTAGCTGTGTCCATGCTGGTGCCAGGGATTATTGAAGTCTAAAGAGCAGCGTGGGTTGGAGTGTGCAGTTGATTTCTGTAGTTGTTGCATGCGAGACCAACACTTGAGTAAGGAACTCAAGTGAAGTAGCAGGGGATGCTTAGGAGTCCACAGGATTTTAAGATAATCAGCAAATACAGAGCTTCTATTGGCAATAAAGGAAGAGTCAAGCCCAGAATAGTGGGATTGGAAGTGTAGCCAGAGTGTGGCTGCTGTACCCTTTATAAAGCACACCTATGGTAACACAGCAACTGTTCCTTGGTAATTGAGGTTGCCTGTCTTGTTTGCTTCCGTAGCAGAAGACACTCAAGCTCTACCATGGCAGACTTTCTCCAAACCCCCCACCCAGGAGAGCACGGTGCAAAACTGAATAACTAACTTTTTCAGCACTAGCTCATCTGAAAAGCATCACAATAAAGTTGAGTTTACACTAATGCAATAGGCAAGAGAAAGGAGAAGTGTCTCTGGATACAGAGTCTTGTTTAATCGCAGCTCCTAACAGCAGCCTTCCATGGCTCCTAATGGTTACATTACCCCATGTAGTACTGTTCATTGCTATCTAGAAAATGAAGCAGGATCGAAACCACACAAGAGACAGGAGAGCAGACTGGTTGTTTATTGGCAAATAAATGCTGAAAACCAAGAGCCCTATATTCACAGGTGCTCTGTGCCCTGTTACATTAGGATGGTCACAAAGCAATCAAGGCAGAGTGCAAAGGATCAGTGGGGAAACAAGGAAGTCAGTGTCTCTAGCCACACTAGGGAAAGGGTAGTGAACAAAGATCTTGTTACAGTCAAATGCTTTTGCCACACAGCTCGAGCTGCCAAAACAATTTCACTTTGCTATCTAAATCCCTTAACTGTTCAGTTATCACTTTATAGGGAGAGCTGAGCAAGATGCCTATTACTCTATCCATTTTCTGCCTCACTATTTGAGATAGTTCAAGTTACAGGGCTCCTTGCACAGCAAAATGGGAAAGGAGGGATGAGAAAGCAGAACCACTAACTCTTGGCATACAAAGTAGTTAAGAGGCTCATTATAAATATACAAAGTGTAAGACAACCCATCCCACATGCTGTGCTAGAATGTACCAGGTGTGTTCCTTACCAGCTGGATGGGACAAGAAAGCATTTAAATTAATCTGATTAAAAAAGACTAGCAAGCTACCTGAAAAAAAAAAACACCAAGAGGAGTAGTGAGGCTGGACAACACCCCACGCTTGTTAGCTCAGTCCATGCCCAATTGCTTGGAGGATATGCAAGCAAGATGCACATTCTCTTGCGCTGAAAGGGAATTTAGTTCTTGCAGTACCAGCCTTAGGTCATTAGATTATGGAAACAAAATGTAATAGCCAGTCATTTAGTGCTAGGCAGGGGCACCAAGCACCATTAGAGCCAAACAGGGCTGCTAATGCCCTGCTTTTTTGGTCCTCCATCAGTAAAGGAGTGCTCTGGAGTGCACGAGCAATTGTCCTCAGAGACATGCTATCCAAATACAGCTATATCCCCTACAGCTCCTTTTGATCTTCGCTCTGTTGGAACATGCCAGGGGTAGCGTTTCAGAAAGCATCCAACACCCTTGCCACACCGGAATGCATACAGTAATGTGGGGCAAGCAAGAGTCAAGAGCCTGAGAAGACAAGAGGGAGGGTAGAGGCACCAAGACACAAAAAACCCCAACCAATGTAATCACCATGAGCAGCTGCTGAGGAAGAAACAGGGCTGGCTCCTGGAAAGCCACCATAGCTAAAACACAAGTGGGGAGGGAAGGGCTCAGTAGCGGGAATCCCCATACAGGACACAATCCTTACAACTAAACCCTCAAAGCAGGCTGCATGGACAGTTAATGAATTCAGCTCCAGGCGGTTAAAGGTAAAGTGACCTTTCCTCCCCCACCCACCACCAGCCTTGTCACCACTTCCCAATTCCCATGTTAGTAGTGAGTGAGTTGATCCTGAAGAGAGCAATGGTCTCGTGAAGGAATTGGCATTAAAAATGCTCGGACATGGAGGGCTGCATTTTGCTTGTAGATTCTCCTTCCTGGCAGCATTTAACTGAGCAGTTCTAAGTAGGTGACAGGAACTTTGCCTTTCTGGTTTCCCCTCTCCCCTATGAGCCAGTCTGGATCCATCCCTGGCAGGCTGTACACTGTGATTAGCTGGGGAAGAGAAGAATTAGATGAAATCTCATTCCTCGGATAGAGCCAAGAATCTAATTAGGTTTGTGATTTATTTATATTTCCTGCTGTAGCCATCTAGTGTTTCCCAGTTTCTCTAGACCTTTCTCCAACATTGAGTTGGTGTCATTAGTACATATTCTTGCCTGGGATTCCCCAGCAACCCTTCAGTAGCTTCCAAATTTGTAAGTTGTGTTATGGCAGAAATTCCAGCCACCCCATTGTCTCTGCCAAGACACCTCTCGTCAGGCTGCAGCACTGCACACAGACACTCCCCTTAAGGAATGGGTTTCAGAGGCACAGCCAAGAAGTTACTTCAACTTCAGTCTGCTCTGAAGTATTAGTCTCTTCCATCAACCACTAGACCTGTAGAAAAGTCCTAGGAAGTCCCATTCAGCCTTTTCCTCTAACCCCTGGGCGGGTGAGACAGCAGCTGAGGGAATTCTTTATATTGTTATCTAGGCCTTAGTGCAATAATGGTAAAGACAACAGACTTCAGTAGGAGCAAAAGGAAGCAGCAGGCGTGTCTTTGGGTTGATTTATGGCACTGAAGAATTAGGACCAATTTTCCTACTCTTGCCCCATCCATGTGTGGAATAATGTGTCATGTGCACCAAGGAGTATGTGGATGTGCACCACCAATAGAAACATGCTGCTGGCTGTGGCACTCTGCCAATCAGCTGGGCAGCATTTGAATCTCTCCTGGGTGGAAACCCAAGTGCTCAGCTTATGGGGAACACTGATTTGGACCCATTCTACTAACAGCAGTAGGAGTGACTCCCAAGTCACACTGGTGTAAACAAGGAGAAAGTCAGACTCCCACTTAATAGCCCCACTAGTGAACAGACTGAAGTGGCTAATCTCAGCAAGCAGTGCCTTGCCAAGCCCTTGTTCAGCACTGCTGTGCAGCAATGCAAAGAGCAGGAGCAGCTGAGATTAAGGGCAGATACCTACCTCATCTGCTAACAGTGCCAGCTCACTGCTGTCAGCCACTTCATAGTCATAGAGAACTCTGGCCTTCCGGGTCCCACTGGCTGGCGGCTTGACATCATTCAGGTTCAGTGCCCTGTCAACTGCTGTGGCAGGGTTAGATGCCCCACCCACAGTGGGTACAACAGGAATGATGGGTACAGCTGGAATTGTGGCAGCAACGGTGGTAGGAGAGGTGGTGGCTGGAGGTGGTGATGTAGATTCTGCATTGCCTACAAATGTACCTGGAAATCTTAAGGAGAAGAGGAAAAGGCAAGTTAGTGAGGCTCCAGCCTTGCCAAGAGAAATAGCCTGTTGGTTCAGGATTCTGACTGCTTCCAAAGGGGGCTCTGAGCTATCCCTCACAAAGGGCCATTGGCAGGGTAACTAGAGATGCAGAAAGGAAATGCACAACAGCCCGGTCAGCCAGCCCCAATCAAGCAGCTGTCTCCTTCGTAGCTGATAGGGCTGTCTGGTCACCGAGTCAGGCTTTGGACAGCAATGTTCACATTTACAAGAGTGTAACAGACGGTTCTCCAGTCCCCACTGCAGAGCTGGGATCTGAGTATCAAATCAGAAGTACTGTCCCAAACTGTGTCAGTGAAAGGTTTTAGAACAAACTTAAGTCACCAGGAACATGGCATTCACCTAAGAGTTGTCAAGGAGCTCAAATATGAACTACAGGTTGAACCTCTAACCTGGGACTCTCTGGTCTGACCACAGATATTCCAGGACCCAAGTCCCAATGGAAGGCTGGTGGCTGTGAAGCCTGGTCAGGGGAGCGGGCCAGGCCAGGGTGGTCGGCAAAATCCCTCAGCCAGAACCAGTCCAACTTGTATATAAGCAACCTATCACCAACATCAGCCTCTGTACCAAAGAATTGGAAGGAAACACCAATTTTTGGAAGGCTCCAGAGGAGATCCTGGCAATCCCAGTAAGCCTGACTTCAGTAATAGGCAAAACTGCAAAAACTAGCACACAAAGTTAGACACTCAGGGTGTGTCTAGATGGCAAGATTTTGCACAAAAGCGCGCACTTTTGCGCAAAAACTTGCCAGCTGTCTACACTGGCTGCTTGAATTTGCGCAAGAACACTGACTTTGTAATGTACAAAATTGGTGCTTCTTGTACAAATACTTTCACGCTCCCGCTCAGGGATAAGCCCACTTGCACAAGAATACTTGTGCAAGAGGGCCAGTGTAGACAGGCACCTAAATTTTTGGCACAAGAAAGCCCAATGGCTAAAATGGCCATCGGCGCTTTCTTGCGCAAAAGCATCCATTCCTATCTAGACGCTCTTTTGCGGAAATACTTTTAACGGAAACGTTTTTCCGTTAAAAGTATTTCTGAAAAATCATGCCAGCCTAGACGTAAGCCTCAGGATGTAAGTCATAGAAAACTAGAACTGGAAGGGACCTCGACAGGTCATCAAGTCCAGTCCTCTGCCCTCATGGCAGGACCAAATATGGTCTAGACCATCCCCGATAGACATTTATCTAACCTACTCTTAAATATCTCCAGAGATGGAGATTCCACAACACCCCTGGGCATAGTCGATGACTGACTAATCGAATAGTTAATCCAAATTCAACATCCCTATTAGACACACAGATAAACACGATTTGAGGAAGTGTCAACATAGGGAGGCAGGATTTCTTTACAAATGTATTAGAATTTGTGAAGGGAGTCTGGGGGTGATCCAATCCATGCAGTGTACTTGGACCATCAGAAAGCCTTTGACAAAGTCCCTGATGGAACTTACAGCCACACCTACACTACAGCTTACTTCAACAAATGAAGTCTCAGGGATGTGCATAACTAACCCACAAGTGATGTAATTTGTGCCCATGTAAGCAGACAGTGCTATGTCAGCAGGAGAACTTCCTCTTCCCAGGGGCTGAAGTAATTAAGCTGACGGGATCTGCTCAGCATAGAGTGGCAACCCTAGAGCGTTCACAGGGCTGCAGCTGCACCAATGCTACTGTAAGCTCTCTAGTGTAGCTACAGGGTAAGGACAGTCCTTGTGGATCAGTAACTGGTTGGAAATTGAGGGTCGGAATAAAGGGTCAGTTTTCAGTGAGATGAAGAGTGGGGTCCCTCAAGAATCTACTGGGACCCATGCTGTTCAACATATGCATAAGTGATCTGGAAAAGGGTGGGAGACAGTGAAATGGCAGAGTCTGCATCCCAAAGTTATTCAAGATAGGCAAGTCCAAAGCAGACCGCAAGGGTCTCAAAACTAGATGGACTAGCAACAAAATGGAATTCCAAATAAGGCTGACGGGAAGAAGAATTACATCCCCACATCTAGAATGGGTCAGAAAGGTTAAGAAAAATGGGAACTGAGGGGAACTATCACACCATGGTATAAATTCATGGTGCCTTCACATCTGACTTGTTTCCCATCCTGATTCTCCTTTTTGGGATGGGGCAGAGTGGAACAGCAAAAGATGATTCAAGGGTATGGAATAGCTTCCATAGGAGACCACCAAAAATGGGGCTATTCATTGGAGAACTAACTCTTGGGACAGGGAGGGGAAGACAGAATATGACAGACCAATACTTCAGGATTCTGTATTCACCACTTCACATACAAAAAACCCAGGGGCCACCTTACTTGCAGCAAGTTTAATGCCATCAAGAGAAAGCACTCTTCAAACAGTTCGTTGTGCATTGTGTGGGAAAACTCATTGCCACAGGATGGTCAAAAGCATAACTGGATACAGCAAATAAGATGAGTAAGTTCCTGGAGGCTCGGTCCATCACTGGCTATTAGCCAAAGGGGTCAGTGATGCAACCCCATGCTTGGGGCAGCCCTACACCTGACTGCTAGGAGCCAAGAATGGATCACCTCAGTTGCCCTGTTCTGAATCTCTGGGAGGCTACTGGGCAAGAGGGAGCACGATCTGACCCAGTGCAGCTCTTACATTCACACTCAGTACAAGACCAGCTCACGCTCAGCACCATTTCAGTTAGACGCTCTATGGCGCCTGTGTGGACTGACAGGGGTTCCAGGCTGCACAGTTAATTCAGGATTAATGTGAACGGAGAAGATGAAGAGATTCCTGGTCTTATCAGAGGGCATCTTACTTACATTTCTCCTCTAGAGCTGCAGGCATGGAAAGAAAAGCAAACAGCTGTCATTCTGCAGCAACACACCCACCTGGTCAAAGCTGGTTGCTCTGATCATTGGCCAAGGAACACCCTTCACCCCCACCCCACAGCCAGCTGACCAGCAGTTGCTGACAGTGCATGCAGTACATGGCAATACGTTACATGCAACACAAGTTAGAGTTCAACAGAAGAGTGATAGAAATTTTCTTCACTATTTTTTTCCCCCCCACTATTTGATCTGAGGAAGTGGGTCTGGCCCACGAAAGCTCATCATCTAATAAACCATCTTGTTAGTCTTTAAAGTGCTACATAGTCCTGTATTTTGTTTCTTCAACAGAAGAGTTCCTCTTGAGCTAAGAGCTGTTAATCCAACCTGGTTCCAAGTACGGGTGCAAACTCCCGTTCAACTAGTTAACTGGCCAGTGGAAACAGCAGCCCCATACAGGGCTGGCAAATGCAATGCCCCCGTGAAAGGCTGCCGGCTCCCAGTCCACATGGGCTGGCAGCCCTGCATTGGGGCTGGTTGGTGTCTGGCAGGGGACTGCTCCCTGGGTACCAGTAACTGGTTAACCATTAACTTGCCTAGTCAAGTCTCCTGACCTGTTTCTCCATTTAGAAAGGTGAACTCAAACACCCCAATCTCTTTGGGCCCCAGGGAGCATCATCATGATTTCCCATTACAAAGGCTGCTCAGAGGTGCTTGTGCAGAACGAAAACTTTAAGGACCTGATTTTTAATCCTGACCTCAGTTTTGTGTGACGGTGTAAAGGCGGAGAATGCTGAGAACAGGAAATGAAGCCTCAAAGGCAAGAAGGCTCCATCCCATACCTGCCCAGCTGCTTCTGCAGGTCCAGCATGAACTGGTAGCCCTGAGCATAGTAGGTAGTCTGAGATTCTACAAACTCATGGAGACAGCGAAGGTGATTCACCTGAAGGGAGAAGACAGATCATCAGCTGGTTTGTGTGACTGAGTAGGTGCAGCAGCACAGAAGAGCACCTTACACACACCTATTCCCATATAGGGAAGTGACAGCAGAGATGTGCAGGGGCTGCAAGGTGCAGGATGGTATTTAAGATTTGATCAAGGGGGGTTTGTACCAGCGGCTTCTATCCAGGTGCTTGGCGACTTTGGGAACAAGTGGGCAGGGTCTCTGACTGGGGCTTGCATCTTCTGCTCTAGCTGACTGCACTGGCTTAGAAGCCCCTCTAGCTCATCCCCACAGCGGAAGTTGCTCCCTAGGCAATAGGAAGAGCCAGGCTTCTCCCCCTCAGTGAAGTGCACTGATGCCTGCAGAGCTGTAGGCGCCAGGTAGGATTTTGCTATTTCTATAGCACTGAATGTATACAGCTCATTACGTCCCTGCCTTGTGTGCTCTCGATTTGCATGAAGGCCTCAGGGTACCCCATAATGCCATGAGTCTCCTCTTCCTCCTGCTCTGCCTCAGACCACTTGACCCCTAGGAACTCACATGTGTGCTGCTGATCCCCTCCAGCAGGAGGCGTGTCACTTCCGCCTGCCGATCAAACTCCGTCTGGGCGAGCCGGAGCTCGTGTTCTGCCTGCAAGAGAAAGGGAGCACCGTGCATTTTCCTGGGCTGTAGAGTGGAAGGCTGGGGTCCAGCTGCCTCTGTCCCGGAAGAAGCTGGACACCAGCTACCGACAGGGACGGTCACAGAAGTGGGCACTGATCAAACCCCTCCATTTGTGGGCCCCGATGTCAGATGCACAATTCCTGGCAAGCAGAGCCCCCCTGGATTCACAGGGAGCTCTACATGCTCAGAATGCCTGGCCCCACCACTGCCATGAGTCAATAGCTACTCAAAGGCGAGGTCCCAAGCCTACATGTCTCCAGCAGAGTCCACAAAGCCTACTGATAGCCCAGAACCGCTTAGATCAGACATTCCCCAGAACTGCAAACCTGGAGGCCACAAAGACCAATCCATGACAGGAAGGAGGGCAGGTGGTATAACCCCCCCACCCCACTGAAGTCAGAGAATTGGCATGCTGTATGGAGCTGGGGGCATCCATAAGGCCAGTCCTTTTCTAGCCCTCTCCCCCCCCCCCCCCCAAGGCTCTGCCCGGAACTGAACACTGTGGAAGGGCACCTGGCAGTTCTGCATTCCCATGAGAGTTGGCAGAAGATGCTGCTGAGGAAGGTACTCATGTAGCTCTGCTCTTTTCACCTCCCACCTAAGCCTAGAGAACCAGAGATGGAGGAATTTCCACAGCTCAGCTAGGAGTCATCATCTTACTTTTGCCCCAGCAGTACTGGGGCAGTTTTAAGAGGTTTCTCCATTGTAACTCAGAACTGAGCAATAGTCATCACTGGAGTTGCTCTCAGCTTGTGTTAGCACAAGACCAGGCTCAGGAACGTCCCCTACAAGTCAATTCAGCAGCAGACGCCCCAGGAGGGAACACCCCACTGGCTAGCACTGCTGCCCATGTGGGAGACTAGCTCATAGAATTGGACTAAGGCTTTACATGTAAAGGCCAAAGCCTTGCCAGGCAGAGTGATTAATATACAAAACCAGAGCTCTAACTGGCTTTGTAGACAGCTTGCTTACAGATCAATGGGTTGTTTGCAATGCAGGAACAATAACCAAATAGGTATTTCCAAAGTAACAATCAGTTCAATTAGAACAGTCCAAGGGTTTGTGTTGAGGCCATGGAAGCTGGAGAGCATACCCTGGTAGGAGGTAAGTGGAGTACCCTAGCAAACAGAGTTCTTCCCATGAGCTTCAGTGCAACACAGCCAGTTTCTTCTCAGGGCTTGTATTCATAGGGAAATTGACCAGAATAGCTCTTGCCTGCCACTATTCTGTAAGAGTACGTCTACACAGCAACCTGATTTCCAAATAACTTTGTCTGTGTCTACAAAGCAGGCAGTTATTTCAAAATAATGTTGAAATACTGTCAAACTGAAGGACTTCTTACTCTGACTCCCGTAACTCTCATTGTAGGAGTAAGGGAAGTCGGAGGAAGAGTGCTCTATTTTGAAATAAGTGCTGTGTAGATGCTCCCAATTTTGAAATAAGCTACACAATTGATGTAGCTCAATTTGTGTAGCTTATTTCGAGTTAAGCTGTGTAGATGCACCCTAACAGTCCCTCTTACGCCAGAAAAGTGACACCAGAGATACTGCAGAATAGTTATTCTGGTTAGTTTTCCCCACTTAGCCAAGCCCATAGTAGCAGATGTTTAAAAAATTATTTTTAATGGCTGAGGAAATACAATTGAGTGCCAGCCTAAGAGGGATCACCTCTGAAAGGAGTCCAGTGCCTACACATGCAAATCAAACTTGGGTTTACAGCTTGGTTTTAAAGCTTGTGACACCTGCTGTTTTGGAGCCAGTGTGGTGCTAGAGCTGCACGTACTCCAACAAAAACCCTCTAAGATTGGCTTAAGAGGGAGCAATGGGATTGAACGGTTTCTTGCATCCTCTGAAAAGAGAGAGAAGAGGGGGAAGAAAAAGATTTCAGGGAGGCTCAGCAACAGCGTATTATGCATCTGCAGCGAGACCTTTGGGAAACTGTTGGCTACAGATACAGCTGAGCTGAGTTCTGGCAGACAACCCTGGCTCCATTCCCATTGGGCAGAGCCAGGCATGTCATTGCTATCAGAAGTAAAGCATCATGCCACACAAGCCACATGCTTTGCTCTTGCACATCCTGTGATCGCTGCCAACAACTGGAGGAGTGTAAGGGGGCAGGGAGGAAATCTTCCCCCCCCCATCCAAGATCCAGGAATGTCTTGGCAACACCCTGAACTGGTTCCAGCATTTGCAGGTCCTAGAGATCTGAGGAGCATTAAGATAGTTTCACAATACAGGGAAAGATAGGGGGATAGTAGCTAGTTCATGTTTTGGTGCTAAATAGGGTATGTCCAATGGAAGAGGCCAGTGGCCCTGGTTGGGACCAGGGGTGCCATAAAGGAATAGCACTTCCTCCTGCATAATGCTACCTGTGCATTTCACCCCTACCAGCTCTTAGTCTGCTCTCTGCAGGCCATGATCATGGCACACTAGGCTCCATGGCAATTTGGGGATCAGGTTAAAGACCCACATGTGCCCGCTGGGTGCCAAGAGATGAAGAACCACCACACCTGCCTAGCACATCAGAAAGCCTGTGCCTGCCCAAGTCTGTTCAGTACCCTACTGTTCCAAGGCCCTAGACAGAAGGTCAATGCCCAAGTCTGTGCAGTCACATCTCAGCAGAATAAATTCACACTATACAAAGGCTGAGTGCTCCAAAGGGGGAAGCGCTGGTTAAGTGTCCTGGCTTGAGGAAGGAAATGAAACATGCATACATCTTCTGCACAGAATCTCCATCTTCATGGAGCCAGAGCATTTCTCCCCACTTTGCTGCATGACACAGAACAACTCTTAAGGACCATCCCCTATGCTGTGGGGCAATCCTTCCTCATGGTTACTTCTGTCTAGACTAAAAGCTCCCAGATCAACCCGATTCCTCCAGAACAAGTAGAAGAGCTGGCTCCTAATAGTGCAATGTACATCAGGGGTGGGCAATAATTTTTGCAGGGGTGCCACTTATTGAATTTTGGTATGTGGGCATGGGCCAGCACACCCTCGGAAGTGGCATGGCCTGGGGCTGATGAGTCATCTGGGGCTGGAGGCTTTGAATTTAAAATAAAAAACCCACAGAACAGCAAAGGACTCACAGCCCCAGCCGCTGTTGGGGTAGCGCCACAACAGAGCTGCGAGCCATTTAAATAGGCTTCTGCTGCCTGAGCCACTGCCTGAAAATCCGGTGACACAGGATCTAAACAGAAAGCAGCCAGATGCAGCCCCCGGTCCGGATCTAGCCCCCGGGCTGCATCTTGCCCAGCCCTGATCTAGATTAAGGTGGGAGGTTTGTGCCACAGGAAAGGAGGTGAACCTGCCATTACAGTGCACTGGCTCTGCTGCTAGCCCAGCAGCACAGGGAGCTCATAAGACTACTCTGTACTATAGGCAGGGAGATCAAATTTTTTCAGATGCTGAGGCCTTACTAGGCAAGGCAAATGGGTAGGTCTTGGAGTCGTGGCAAGATCGCTTCCTTTCCAGTCCTACTAGCATTAGCTAGATAGAAAACTAACTCATTCACCACCTAACCCCAGAGGCATGCACCTACACGGAGCGATCTCTCTGCGTTCAGCCTGGGAAACAGCGGCACCCTGGAGCAAACACCCCCTTCGCCTTTGGAGGACGAGGTCTGCAGTATGCATTAACTTGCTCTGTCACCTGGGTACTTACTTTTTCCACCTCGTCGCTCCAGAGCTGGTGGGGCCACAGGGCAACAGGAAAGGAGATCAGTGTTGGAGACTTCAAGCAGCATTCAGCAATAACAGCAATTGGTGGGGACACTCCACAGATGCAGCAGGCTAACTCCAGGAACAATCCAGCCCTTCACCCAGCAGCAGCCTTCTGCTCCGGACAGGACACCTTTCAAGGAGCTCATTTTGTATTCCCCCCATCCCCCCATATCCTCAAACTCAGGAATGTCTACATGTGGCCTTGAGGTTTTTGAATTCATACTCCCAACTTATTCTGGATTAATTTCCAGAGTGGATGCTCTTAGTCCAGAGGATCGCACATGTTAAACCAGACGGCTACGTCTAGACTGGCCCCTTCTCCGGAAGAGGCATGCAAAGCAGGCAAGTCAGAATAGGGAAATCCGCGGGGGATTTAAATATCCCCCTTGGGATTTAAATAAACATGGCTGCCACTTTTTCCCAGCTTGGGGAAAAGCTGGAAAAGAGCATCTAGACTGGCGCGATCCTCCGGAATAAAGCCCTTTTCCGGAGGATCTCTTATTCCTACTTGCAAGGGCTTTATTCCAGAGGATCACGCCAGTCTAGACGCTCTTTTCCGGCTTTTCCCCAAGCCGGAAAAAAGTGGCGGCCCAGTGTTTTTTAAATCCT